GCTCTCCAATTAATGAAAATAAGATTCCTTCCACTACTTATGTCTTGTTTGATTTCTTCAATACTGGTTTGTAGTGTACAAGTCTTTTATCTCTGTGGTTACATTTATTACTATTTATTTATTTTGATGCTATTATAGAGAGCTTTTTAAACATTTTTTTCTTTTGGGTATTTCATTGCTATTGTATATAAATTCAGCCTTTTGACTGTTCATTCTGTACGCTGCAACTTTACTAAAATCAGTTATTTTAACGGGTGTGTGCGTATGTGTGTGTGTGTGTGTGTGTGTGTGTGTGTATGTCTAAGGTTTTCTGAATAAAAGATCACATCATCTATAAAAAGATAATTTTACTTTTCCATTTCCAACTTGGATTCTTTTTCTTTCTGAGTGCCTTTAGCTAGATCTTTGATACTCTATAGAGTGGTGGAAGTTGGTGTCCTTGTTTTATTTCTGATCTTAGGGGGGGAAACGTTCAGTCCATATCACTGAGTGTGTTACCTTTCATATAAACCCTTTATCATGTTGAGAAAATTCCTTCTGTTCCTCGTTTGTTGAATATTTTAAATGTTGCAGTGGCATTGAATTTTGTCAAATACTTTTTCTGCACATGATTAGTATGATTTTATGTTCTTTTTCCCTTCATTTTATTTATTTTTTTTTTTTTTTTTTTTTTTGTACCGGGGATCAAACTTGGGATCTTGTGCTTGCAAGGCAGGTGGTGGAACCACTGAGCTAAATCCCTGGCTTATTTATGTGATTTTAAAAGATGTTCAGCCGTTTCACATTCTGGAAATTAACTGGATCGATTACTGATTCAATCTCTTTACTAGTTAGGAGTTTATTCAGACAATCTGTTTCTTCATGAGTCAATTTTGGCAAATTGTGTGTTTCTAGGAATATGTCAGTTTCATCTTGATTATCCGATTTAATTTGTTGGAGTACAATTGCTTAATACTGTTTTGTAATTATTTTTTTCTGTAAAATTATTAATACAGTTTGAGCATCCCTAATCCAGAAATCTTAAATCTGAAATGCTCTGAAGTCTGAAACTTTGAGGGTCAATGTGATGTCAGAGTCTATGCGATATTCCAAAATTCAAAGAATTTCGAAATATGAAACATTTCTGGTTCCACGCATTTTGGATAAGGCATACTCAAAAATGCCCCTGCTTTCTTACTTGATTTTTGTAATTTTAATTTCTCTCTCTTTTTTAAAATAAAGCTAGTTTATAGGTTTGTTGAACTTAAAAAAATAACTTTGGTCAACAGTTTATCTATTTTATGTTTTGTCTTGTCTAATCTTTATTATTCTGCCTCCCCTGCTTTGCATTTAATTTGCTCTTTTAGTTATTGAAGGCGTAGTGAGATTATTGACTTGAGATGTTTCTTATTTTATAATTCATGTGTTTATAACCATATATTTCCTCTTAGCATTGCTTTCACTGTATTTTATAAGTTTTGCTGTATTGTGCTTTCATTTGTCTCAAATTTTCCCTGACTTTTTTGATCTATGGTTATTTAAAAAGGTGCCCCTTGTTTTGTTTTTTTTTCCCCAGTACTGGGAATCGAACTCAGGACCTTCCGCTTGCCAGGCAGGCACAGCACCACGGAGCTACATCCTTACCCCTAAAAGATGCCTTTTAATGTCTACATATTGGTGAATTTTCCAGTTTTCCTTCTGTCATTAATTTCTGGTTTCATATTAGTTTCCTTCAGAAAAATGTTTTGTTTGATTTCCGTCCTTTGAAAGTTATTAAGCCTTTTGTATGGCCAACATATGGTCTTTCCTGAAGAATGTTCATGCACACTTGAGAACATTTGTTGTTGGAGTGTTGTGTTTGGTCTAATTGGCTTGTGGTGTCATTCAAATCTTTTCTCTCTTAGCCAGGGGTGCTGGCGCACGCCCAGCACTGAGGAGGCTGAGGCAGGAGGATCACCACAAGTTCAAGGCCAGCCTGGGCTACATAGTGAGTTCAGGGCCAGCCTGAACTACAAAGGGAGACCCTGCCTCAAAAAACCAAAAAAAAAAAATCCTTTTTTCCCTCTCTTGGTAATTTATCTTATTGCTCTATTCATTATTGGAAGTGAGGTATTAAAACCTCTAATTATTGTTTTTCTTTCTTTAAAACCTCTATTATTGTGAAACAATGTTCCCTTTCAGTTCTGTCAGTAATTTTGTTTCATTAATTTTTTGTACCATTGTCTTTTAACTTTTTAAACGTATGATATACAGTTATAATTGTTTTATTTTATTCTTTGGTACTGGGGATCAAACTCAGGACCTTGCGCTTGTGAGGCAGGCGCGGAACCTCTGAGCTAAATCCCTGGCCCCTATAATTGTTTTAGGGCCCTTGTTTGCTGATTCTAACATTTGTGTCAGTTCTGAGCCCTCTCCCCTTCGCTCTCATCCCCTCCTCCCTCCCCTTTTCCCTGACAGCCTTTGGCTGTGTGGTGTCAGTCCTCCTGCCAGGTGTGAGCCACCACACCCTGCTCCTGAGTCACTCTCTGTTCAATAAGTTTTCTCTTCCTTGACAAGGAAAATGCTTCAGTTGATAATGTTCTGGTGTCCCACTCAGCAGTGTCTGTTGTGCTTATTCTTTTATAAATTTTCATATTCCACTTACTGCTTGTTTCAAAGGCTTTGTTGAGTATATTACCTAGTTTTAACTCAAATAGGCCTAAAAAAAGATTCCTTCCATGAAACTGAATTAAAAGATCATGCTAACAATGCAAATACAAATGAACAAGAAAAAAATCTAAAATGACAGTTCCTCTCTCATGAGCTCCTTGACACCCACACAAAGATGTTGAAGAGGTCGATTAAGCACATCTAGTAAGAAGTGTTTTCTTAGTTACACTCTAATTGCTGAGAGAACATACCCAACACCCAAAGTTAAAGGAGCAAAGGTTTATTCTGGTTCACAGTTTGTAGCAGTTTCACTCCGTAGTTGGCTGGCTGCACAGCACAGTAGCATGGCAGAGGGGCCATCTCAGAGGAGAAACAGTCCATGGCAAGCAAGCAGGAGACAGCCAAGAAGCAAGCAGCAGCAGCAGCAAGCTTGTCTTCTTTCTGACCCTTTTATCCCTTTCAGGCTACCCACCTTTTGGGTGGTACCACCCACACCCAGGGTGCGGCATCCTTAATTTCAGCATCACACTCTCGATCCAGCCACCTCCAGAAAGCTCCACCTATGGTTGCATGAAGCTTTAGGGGGACATCTAGAGATTTTAGAGGTGTGGATCAGGATGAGGTGCCTTTCAGCTTGCTTTTGTCTATTGGCTCTGAAGGTAGGATTTCAGGGGGCATTATCTCCTGTGGGTGCTATCAGTATGTTAACAGACCGTGTCAGAAGAACCAGTTGGACACGTTGTTAGTTATCCACATGGAGATTTTCCCTATGACAGAGATAGTCATTAGACTGTTGGTCAAGAAGCACACAAAAACAAATAATAAAGAAAAGGATGGGGCAAGGGAGGAAAAAGCTTGGAAGCAGTGAGTTTCTTTACTTGGTTAATTAGGAAAGAGGCTGATCTGCTCAGAACATGCATCTGCAGATAAAAAGGAAAAAATGTGTATATAGTACTTTCTGAAAAGAATTTAACTGAGTTCTCAAGACATTGTGCCAGGCTATCTCTATGTAGTGTCTACCAGTGGCCTTAATTTAGTAGGCACAGCAAGACCATATCCTTCCTCTGTGTTTCTTTTAAAGCAATAGGAAGAACATGTAAATAATTTCATGCCGTTTACACGGATGTTTCCACTTTTAGATGGCATAATGCTTCTTTATCTGGAATTGGTGAATATAAGATTATTTAGTATGTGGTTTTTGTTTGGTTGCAAAGAAATTTTATACTTAGGTTTTCCTTGGACTACATAATAAGCACTGTCTTTTTACTATTGGTATGGCTTTATCACCCTGATCCAACATAGACAGACGGACACCTACATCTATCTGTCTGTCTGTCTGTGGCACTCAGGCAGACTAGGCACAATACACACTTGAATGTGGATTTTTGTTAACTAACTTGTGTATGTGATGGGCCCCTAGGAGCCTTCCACAGTTAGCAGCAGGTTTCTGTGGTGGTAGGGAGTGTTGTGCTAGGCATTTAGCACGTGAGGGTGCTGCTCGTTTTAGTTGGAACTGTCCAGAATTAGTAGTGGCAAGCTGATGAGGTCTCCTGTAAGCTTCTTCCCACACTTCTTGGGCCAGTGTTTTCCTTCTGGCCAGTGGGGCAGACCGCACATTGTGTCTGATGTTCTGTTTCGGACGTGAGAGCAGTCACTGTTCATTTAAGCTGGGTGGCATGTCACTCCTTTTCCAGAAGAGATGGGGCCGCTGAGGAGAACTTCATGTGATTTCTTATGAGGGTCTCCTTTCCACATAGCGTAGCACCCATCTAAATTTGTCCTAGGTCTCTGGGCACCCGGCTCTCAGCTGTGAAGATCCTTACATCATTGGATGTATTATATGGAATTCTTTTCTTGGACTTTTGCGATGGGGTAGCAAGTGGTCATTGACTAGGTTATATATATATAACTAATGTTTTTCAGGATAAAATTAGCACAGAATGCACAGACAGGCATGCGTGCCCCTTTTATACAGTGCTGTTTTCATTCAAGATCTGAGTTAGTGGTGATGAAACTCTGGACAGTAGTGTCGGGGTGCTTAGGGAACCCCTGACAGCTGTCATGGTCCTTGGTCAGCTAAGAGTACTCTCTTTTCTGTCTCAGCACCATAATTTGAGCTCTTGATTTTTATATATACAGTTAATCATCACCTTAAATTTAATTTTATTTTTCCTTATTGGAAAAATACAGGTATTTGTTTCAATTCCAAAGCATTTGATTTTCATTTAACCTGATTAAATCCTGAGCTGCTGATCCTAGTGACTTACACACATATCCAAAATTCCAAGGATTTGGATTGCGAATTTGAGCTTTTGATCATGTTCTGGTTTTCTTGACAATGAATATTAAACTAAAATTTTCATTTCTTTAAGGTGTTGACTTCAAGGTGAAAACAATTTCAGTGGATGGAAATAAGGCCAAACTTGCAATATGGGTAAGAGTTTTAAAAATATGTTTTTGTAAGTATTAAACTTGAACTTTTTATAAAAGCAGAAAATGACTTAGTGTTGTAGAGGTGAACAAACAACTTGTATCAAATATCTTTGGGATACTTGATGTATGTCCACTACATGTCTTATAATGGGTAAATAGGCAGAGATTTGTTTTATTTAAATTTTTGAAACGTATATCCCTTTCAGAATATTTTTAAAATTAGAGAATTAAAAAACATCACATAGTCCGCCAGAGAGAATTGTTGTCTGCCAGAGAGAATTGTTGGTGGTAAATATGATATGTTCCATTAGTTTTAAAAAGGCCATCTGAACCAACACTGAATTGTCGAGGGAAACAAACGAAGTGATGCTTAGGGAAAAAAATTGTTTTTCTTCTTTGTTAGGATAGATATTTATAAATTTTGAGTTTCCCAACTTTGGGTTTGTTTCCCTTCCCTTACCAGCCGCTTTTCATTTCCTTGTGAACCCTGCCATTCTGATCTGTCTTGTTCTGCTACTGCTAACTAGACCTCGTCGTGCTAGTGCTGAAAAGGAGGTCGTGAAATATCAAAAGTGTCCAAGAGGCTTAGTGTCTGTCTGTCTCTCAGTTCCTTTAAACATGATTGCTAAAATTTATAAAAGTATATATCTAATTTTTACATATACTATGGTAATTAAATATATACATATATCTTATAGCATGATAAATAGAACTGATTAGTGGTCATCATATGAAGACATACTCCTAAACACTCAAATAGTAAATGCTGCCTGTATATCAGGAAGTGGAAGAAGTAATATACATGCATTATATGATGTTAGTTACCAAGTTGCTCAAGCCAAGCTTGAACTTGGCGATCCTCCTGCCTCAGCCTCCCACAGTGCTGGGATTTCCAGCATAGTCTACCATGCCTGACTCACATGTCATATTTTAAATGATTATTAATTTATTTCCCTCTCCTTCAATATAGTTAACATCAATTAGAGCAGTAATGTCTAACAGAAAACAGTTTGGGAAATGTTGGACTAGATAATAGTAAAATATATTCAACCATTTAAGAATAACTAAAGTGGGGACCTGGTTTTCCATGTTGTTTTATGATTAATTTATTATCGCTTTCTGTCCTTGCTATTGCTTATTGCTTTGTGAACTACACAAATTAGACTAGGAACTGAGGCTTAATGGTTACAGTGACATTTTTCTCCTACACAAGACTGTTTTAAAAGTGTGCTTTCTACTTCCTGCCTAATGAAAAGGCTGGCGGGTACTGTTGATGAGATATGTTTACCCTAGGCTTACATTTTTTCAAAAAGAAAGGTTTCCCTGGACTACATGAATAATACTGGCTCATCCTGTAAAGGATAATCGAGACAATAAGAAAACAATAGAGAAAACCTTAAGTGTATACTTTTTAATAATCTTCTTAAAGATTTTAGGTGCATGTATATGTACTGTTATACATATGTGTATATATGCAGTTTTCAAGAACTGATCCATTCACACAATGTGTACATTTTTCTGTGTCAATAAATAATGGAAGTGATGAGTTGAAATGGCCATCTGGTTTTCCTTTTATGGCTATATTTTAATTTAGTCAACCCCTTGAGAAAGATACTTGAATTGATACTAATTTTTCACAAAAATAAGCAGTGCTCCAGCAGCATCCTGATTATACATCTGTGGAGAGTTGTGTAATTACTTTAGGATGTAGAAATGTTGGTTTAAATGTTGGTTTACTATAGAAATGTTGGTTTAAAGAATGTGAGCTTTTAATATTGATATACATCTAAAAGACTTCAGTTTTTACTTCCATCAGATATTTTTCATATTCTCTTCTACATTTTAATTGGTATAGTACTTAGTATTATCAGCTTTTCTCATTTTTACCTTTCTGAGTAATAATTTTTTACATATATGTATGAGCATTTCTATTTAGTTTTTCTCATATATTTGCTGGTCACATTTAAAAATACATTCTCTTGGGCTGGGGATTAGCTCAGTGGTGCCATACCTTGAAGGTGCAAGGTCCTGACTTCGATCCCTGGTTCCGAAAAAAAATACCTGTATATATGTATATTTCCTTTTTATATTCTTTGCCCATTATAAGCATTTATCTTTTCCGTGAGTAAAGTCTTTTTTTTTTTGGTACCGGGGATTGCTTTCGGGTCCTTGCGCTTGCGCAGCAGGCAGCAAAACCACTGAGCTAAATCCCTGGCCCTTTTTTTTTTTTTTGAGTAAAGGCTTTATATAATAAAAGTGTCAGCTTTGTCATATGTTACATTTTTTCACACTGGCATTCATCTTTAAAATCAATCTTAAAATGAATTTAGGATTGTGTTCTTTTGCATGAGTATATTACTAACTTTGTCATATGCTACAGATTCTTTTTTTCCCCAGTTTGTCATGTACACTCAAATCTTGTTAACATACCAGGGTCTTAGTAGTTATTATGGTCAGATAATTTATTTTCTTTATGATATCTGAGTGTTGTATTTTAGAAAGGCCTTTCTGTTGACTATTAGAAATATATGGATCCGTAGTTCCTCCAATCCTGTGATTTTATCTACAGAAATATAGTGAGTCCTTCTCTCCCTTGCAAGTTTCTGAGATCAAATAGAATAATTATTTGTAGCTCCACCGTCACTGTGTCACGAAAGTGCATACTCCTCATGACTTCAATAGCATCTCAGGTTTTTTCTTGTGTTGCCCGTTTCTATACCCTTGCCTTACTTCTACTCCCTGCATTCTATTTAGCCTTCCGAGATCTTTCCTCACCTTTGATTTATCCATACCTGTCTTTAATAATTTGTTTGCCTCATCAGAAATTAAAAGCACAGCCTAAGACAAAAAGGTCTGCTTTGTTTATCTTACAAAGATGTCTTTGCACTTACCACACATTCCTGATTTTAAAAAGAGAGAAGAGGATGGGGGATTTAGCTTAGTGGTACCCCACCTGCCAAGCAAGCTCAAGGTCCTGAGTTTGATCCTCTGTACCACAACCAAAACAAAACAAAAAACAATGACTATTCAGTGTACAGTTTTGATAAATTCTGGTCCGATGCTTTTGCAACAGTGTTTTGAGCCCTGCCACAAGTATTAGTTTAACATTTTTATAAGTAAACCCAAAATGTCAAGACTAAATGTCTGATATGAATAAATGGTCACGTGTGAAAAGTCAGAGTCATGTGTGATATTTTAATATTAGAACATTTTTTGCTATTATTACTTTGAAAACATAAGGTTTTTATGGCTGTCTTGACTGGAATTGCAATTCTGATTTTTATGTTGTGTTTCTTCAAGGCAGTTTTTGAGGCTGATCTTAGTGAAGACTAGAGCGAACAAAGTTCATGTTCATTCACTTTCTGACTTCTGGAAATCAGTTCACTAGAGTTATGGGTGTAATTTCCTTCTGCATAGAGAATGGCTGCTTTCCTGTCATAACAGAAAGATTTAAGGATTGCGTTATTTCCTTTTTTACTTTTTTGGTATCGGGGATAGAACTTGGGACCTTGCACTTGTGAGACAGGCGGCAGAATCACTGAACTAAATCCCCGGCTAGGATTGCATTATTTCATACTTGATTCTTACTCAAAATTATTTGTTATGAAAATGAAACTGTTCCATGTATGGAAAAAATACTAAATTTTAAATTTCCAAATTTTCTGTTCCAAATCTGAGTCTTGTCTTTTAAAGGCTTTTCCTTTTCTCTTAAGTTTGTAGTACTCAGATTTAAATGCTTAACATGATGGAATTCCGAAAGTTATAGTGTATACTGTGTAGTTTGAGTGTTGCTAACTTATATTTTATGTGTAAATAAATTGCTGAGCTATGTACTTTTAGAATATAATTTTTTATTTAGTTTTATGAGTCAGGTTTTCTCAGACACTGATCTAGGCTATGAACACTTTGAGTTCTTTTCTGTATAAACATCAAATACATATATTCCCAGTTGGTTTCTGAAGTGATGGTATAGTTAAACATAGCAATCATATCATGGTTTCCAGTTGAATTTTGTTTTTTTTGGTACTGGTGATTGAACTCAGGGGCCTTGTGCTTACCAGGCAGGTAGGTGCTGTGCTACTGAGCTACATCCCTGGTCCTCCAGTTGATTTTTTTCTACAAACTTAAATTTTGATCCTTTGATCATAGTGATCAAAAAGATTACTGGGCATCCATGTGGCATTTTATTGATGATTATTAATTCAAAATACCAGCCTGTATCATGTGATCAAATTATAATTGGCTTAGATGATAAGCCTGCTTTATGTAGCTTTGTGTTATTGTTCCTGAAAACATGGGTAAATATGCAAATTGAATAATTTTAACATCAGACATAGGTTTTGTAAGAAACTTTAAACTGAAGAAAATTTTTATAATGAGAGAAATCATTTTTATCTCATACATTCATGTGTTTAGAAAGTATAATTTTAAATGTGTTACTTCACTTAATCGTGGCAAAGAAGAGAACTAGTTTCTAAAGTGATGAGAATCTGGAAGCAAAAACATCCTTCACTTCTTTGTTGCTTCACTTGTGTGAGAAACCCTGAGTACTGTGTAGATAAGGAGCGGAATGGGGGAGAGATACTAGGAAGTCGGGGGCCTGTCCAGATGGGAAGAGGAGCAGGAGATGGGGGGCAGGAGGGGAAGGGAGAGAGGGGATTTAAAGAAACAACAGAAACAGAGCTTTCAGTATACGTGGTGGCGAAGCTAGCACTAGAAATAGAACTTTTGTAAATTTGGAGGGAAGGAAAGGTTGGAGGAAGGGGAAGGGAAGGGGACAAACAAGCCAGAAGTGAGATGTGCTTCGTACACGGACACATCTCCCATGATGAATGTAATCTTCATGTACTGCAAAAAAAGATGAACAAAGAAAACATGCTTCTCTGAAGAGTTAAAAAAATTCTGCATGCGTGTAAGTTTATCTGTGGAGGAATAGGAAATGTTCAAAGAGGTTTACACTGAAAGCTATTTTCCTTTTGTTTCTGGGACTAAGTTTCCTTAAATGCTCTGTATTCTTTCTTACAGCATTCTCTTCCCCAGCCAGCCAAAGACATTCTCTATTGCTGATGCCCTTTGTTGCTACTTTAAAATTCTCCAGTCTTAGAAACCTCTTCGGTTTATATCTGACTTTTTACGTCTAAAGGAGCTTCTGCTTGTTCTGTAGAAAAGTCGAGTTCATCACAGCGGGACCCCTGGCTAGGTTGCACTTTGATACATGTCTTTTCAGCCCACTGCAGACATTTTGTTAAAGGGCCACATAGAAAATAAATAGTGCAACCCTACACCGACCAGAATGGTGATATGTAAATGCATGGCCTGGCTGTGTGTCAAACTTTATTTAATAAAGTCTTATACGATAAAACAGGTGGTGGGCTAAGGTGGCAGTTCGCCAGCTGCCATTTCGCATAATCTTAGATCCTTGAAAGCCACAAGCCCAGGGTGGTGGTAGAAAGAAGACAGAAGGGGCAGGCCTGGAAGTGTGGGCAGGCTGGTTAGGTTAGTTCCTCTCCTTCCCCGTCACATTTTGAGCAGCTTTCCCATGGCAAGCCCTGCTCTGTGTACTGGAGTTAAACTGGTAACGGAGCACATGAGGCCTCTACTCTTAGGAAATGTACAATTTCTTTCTCATGTGACATGTCTTTTGTAGTTCATGGACCCCTACTATATGTGGTAAGGGGTGGTTTGGTATTACGCATTTCCCTAAAGATACATAGAAACCCTTACACAGCCTGACCTAAAAATTCCTTACTTGAAATAAGATAACCTTTGTATATTTCTCTTTCTTTTTTCTTTCTTTTTTTTTTTTGGTACCAGGGATGGAACTCGGGACCTTTTGCTTGCGAGGCAGGCAACGGCACCACTGAGCTAAATGCCCGGCCTATATTTCTCTTTAAATCTGTGATTCCCAGCTTTGATTCAACATTAGAATAACTTGGAAAGATTTTTGTTTTTAATTCCCCTTCTCACCCTGTCACAGTCTTTGTGGATTGGACATAAAGATTCCCAGAAAATTTAACTGTGCAGCAGGAGCTGAGAGCCTTGGCTTTCAATGAAGAGAGTTTCACGTGTGATAAAAATTTTAATCAAAAATGTCAGAAAGTCTTAGCTTAATTGCATTTTTCTAGAGCTGAATCAGTATTTACTAATTTTATTTTATGTAATATTTCTCAGAGAACACATCTTACTTAAATTCCAGCTGTTTAATGAGCTTGCACATTGAGAGTATTTTTAATAATGCTGTTTGGCTTTCTAGGTCTATTATTTATACTTTTTCTTTTAAATTGTCCCTTCTAGGATACTGCTGGTCAAGAGAGGTTTCGAACATTAACTCCTAGCTACTACAGAGGTGCACAGGGTGTTATATTAGGTACGTTTTTACTGTAATACACTGTATTTTTTTTTTTTGCTACGGGGGATCAAGACTCAGGACCTTGCACTTTTGAGGTGAGTGTAGCGCCACTGAGCTAAGCCCCAGCCCCTACTGTATTTTTTTTTTAAGACAGGGTCTTGCTGTGCAGTTCAGGCTGGCCTTGAACTCACTATGTAGCTCAGGCCAGCCTCGAACTTGCAGCAATCCTCCTGCCTCAGCCTCCCGAGTGCTGGGATTACAGGTGTACACCACCAGGCCTGGCTGACTTCATTTATTATTAATAGATATGAAAACTTAAAATTTTTTTCAGTCCTTTTATTAAAAAATAAAGACTATATTCTTTGGTTTAAAGTACATGTTAGTGAGTTTAAAGGACATGTTACATGTCACCAAACATTGATCTGCTTTCATCAGTGAATTAATATTTGCTTAAGTCTATAAAGAAAGGAGAATATTTCTTGCTTAGGAGAATCGGCTGTATCAATTGTATTTATAAAAGAAAGCACAAGGCACTTAACAGTTGATTCATGGTCAAACAAAATTGAAAACAGTTGGGCGTTTTGTAATTTGGGGAAAAGTACTTTTCTTGATATTCCTGGAAAACTTTAAAAATATTGGCCAGTTGCATAGAGAAATTTTTATATCACAATTTAATGACTTACGATACTGTTTTACTTTTAGAAAACAATTTAAATTAGTATAAGCTTCTATGTCCGATGCTATAAGATTAAAGAGATTATTTAATAGAGACGACACTCAGGATCCCATTCACTAACTATACTGTAATTTTCTCAAAAGAGGCAAATTCTGGTCCTTATGAGGATCATGTATGTTTAGGTTTATACAAAAACAATTTTTTTTTTTTTTTACAAAAACAATTTTTAATGTTTCACCAAGCTTTGGATCTAAACACTAGTATTTGGACAGACCTCGTTAATCATTTTGAACAGGAAAAACTGTTGCTTTGGTGAAATTGGTTTTCAGTTATCAGACGCAGTCTATAATTTCATTTCTATCACAACATGTGTTAGATTGAAACGTGTTAAGTATCTCTCTAACCCCTTGTTTGTTCCACGTGGATCAGTATAGCCATTGTTGAGCACTGAAGGCTTAACAAGAAAGACTTGGCGAAGAGTAATGTTAGCTTCCAGCTGCATGTCAGAAATAACGGTGTTACTGTTGCCTCTTACCTTCAATGCTTACTCAATGAATGACTGCTTTTATTTCAGTTTATGATGTCACAAGAAGAGACACCTTTGTTAAGCTGGATAATTGGTTAAATGAATTGGAAACATACTGTACAAGAAATGACATAGTAAACATGCTAGTTGGAAATAAAATCGATAAGGTAAGAAGGCAGACATTTGGAATTTTTGTTCTGTATTTTGACAGCTTTTCTTTTTTTGATGTTTTTTTGTTTTTCTTTTTTGGTACCGGGGATTGAACTCAGGTCCTTGCGCTTGTGCGGCACGTGGCAGCACCACTGAGCTAAAGCCCCAGCTGGCAGCTTTTCTTAATCATTGTGTTTATCTTTTAGGAAAATCGTGAAGTTGATAGAAATGAAGGCCTGAAATTTGCACGCAAGCATTCCATGTTATTTATAGGCAAGTATAAATGAATATCTACTCTTTCATTATTAACAAGGAATTTTTAAAAAGTTTTTGCTAAAATTTATGAGCTGTGATTAAAAAAGACAGTGAATGTTTCAAAATGTGTTGCAGTAAAAGACACATTGCCATTAATTACCCTTGAAATCCTCCCTCTCACTTCAGGCACACTGATGCCTATATTCTTGCTACACCCTGAAGCAGTTCTGAAAGTCCTCTTTCATGTCTTTAGTTGCACATTTGTGGCTGGCGTGGTGCCCCCCCCCCCCCCCCCCCCCCCCCCCGCCCCGTACCTGGAATCAAACTCAGGGACCTTCCCTTGCTGGGCTGAGCTGCACCCCTGGCCCTTGGCTTGATGTTCTGAATCAGTTCGATATGTTTACCTTCCACGGTCATTTTGACTTTGGGGAAGGACCAGAAGCGGCATGTCGGCTAGAACATGCTGTGCTGTCGCCCTCCGTCAGGTGGCATCAGCGGCACTGTGTGGCACTGTGCTTGTGATCGCAGCCTGGGAAGACACTCGCTTGTAAAGCCTCAAAGAGGACTTCCAGAGCAGCATCAGGCAGTGACGGGTGATAGGCTAAGATAAGTGTGTTCAAAGCGAGTAGGGGTTATTGGCAATGTGACTTTCACTCTAATACATTTTAAAGCTTACACGTTCCATATGCTTTGATCATGCTTTATATTTATGACATAAGTATATTTGTTCAATTCACAGTTCTCTTGTGCTGCAAAGTCTGACTATAAAATGAGATTCTTTTTCTTCCTGTAAAAATAGAATAGGATGGTATTTCCTGGGGGCACATAGATCACAATTGAATCATTCCTCTCAGAATATATGGCATTTGGTAAACTTGGAGCCTGGTGCCCAAGCTATTCCAGGATCACCCCGCCTGGGTGTTTGTTGAGAATGCTTCATGTCAGGCCCTGCCCCCCATTTCAGAGTTAGAATCGGCAGCTTTGAAAAGCTCGTCCTGTGGTTTGCATGCACATTCACAGCGATGCAGCACAGACCCTGTCTGGCCGTGCCCTCATCACACATTGCTAGTCCTTACCACAGAGGCCGTGTGCCCCTCAGAGCCTAAAATACTTATTACCTGGCCCTCACAGGGAAAGTTTGTCAACCCCTCATCTGGAAAAGTGATCTAGTTATATCAGAATCACTGGGGGAGCTTTGAAAATTACAAGTCTTTGGGACTCGCCATAGGTCTAAAGATGCAGTTTATTAAAAACAAGTAGTGCTGGTAAGGAAAGAGAACGCTAAGGAGAGAGCATCACTGGGCTGGAGCTGAGGACGGAGTGGTATTTGAGGTAGTGCCCTTTGAGCAGCAGTCAGCGTGCGAGGGTGGGAGGAGAGCTGTTCAGGGTGAGGGGATTGCAGACACATTTGCGAGGGAGGAGCTAGGCTGGCGTGAAGAAGGCTCATTCGGGTGCTGGGGCACAGCTGTGTTAGGGAGAAAGAAGGCGGGCGATGCTGGGAGATGAGGCTCAGAGGGCACCGAGACCCAAGGGCAGGGCAGAAACGGCTGCGCTCCGGGCGTGCTGGAAAGCCGGTGCTGTGAGCTGGCTGTCCGCTTGTGTGGGATGGGCACTGTGAGGAATGGGAGCGAGACACTGGCTCTCTCTCTCCCCTCCCTCTCGCTCCTCAGTGAGGTCCTGTCTCAGAATAGAAAAACAGGCCGAGATACAGCTCAGTCCAGAGGCCCTGGGTTCAATTCCTAGTACGGTTACCACCCCCAAAAGGCAGATCATCAGCTGAGATGGAGGAGGAGTGAGGAAGAGGAATAAGATTAGTCACTTCAGACAGCTAGAAGGACTCCAGGGACATGGAGCGGTTACTGGAGTTACATCAGCAGAAGGAAAGTGGGGTCAGTTGTGTTCTTTTTATCCAGCCACCTATAGATAGTTGTTTGCAAACAGAATAATCAGGTTAATTATTTAACTTGTAGCGTGAATTTCATTATTTTAAAGTGGAATAATATCTGTTTAGGGGGTTCATTTTTTTTTTTTTTTTGGTACTGGGGATCGAACTTGGGACTTTGTGCTTGCAAGGCAGGTGCCGGAACCACTGAGCTAAATCCCCGGCCCCTAGGGGGTACATTTTAAAAGTTAAAACCTAGGGAAATAAGTTTGACATAATATTTGAATGGGACTTTACAGGTTAAAATTCTATTCCACAGTGTTGGGCTTGCCTGGCAGTATTCTACTGGATGAAATTTAAATAGCTCAGTTTTAAGAGTTGAGAAATTCATTAATATTGAACTTGTGGGAAGAAATTGCTTGTATGGGTCTCAGTATATCATAACCTGATATGTATGCCATGAAAGTTTCCCAGAAAAACATGGGAATATGGCCAAAAAGGAATGTCCTGTGACCCTTTCCCTTGAATTTCAGAGGCAAGTGCAAAAACCTGTGATGGCGTACAGTGTGCCTTTGAGGAACTTGTTGAAAAGATCATTCAGACGCCTGGACTGTGGGAAAGTGAGAACCAGAATAAAGGAGTCAGACTGTCACACATGGAAGACAGCCACGGACGAGGAGCCTGTGGTGGTTACTGTTCTGTGCTATAAACTCTGGGAAGCCCATCTCTTGCATAATCGATGAGATAGTGACATCTTCTGTATATAAACTCTAACTGCTACTTAGGGACCTTGCAGTTTGCACATAATTGTTTTGTATCATGGCAGTAAATATTTGTGAGAAATTCCACTCATCGGCTTTCCCAGGGACAGTGTTATGGTATGCATGCAGTGTGTAGTCTGCAGTTTTTTATGTAACATAAAATAGGTGTCCCTTTAAGAGTACATTTGATTTTGTGATTTACATTTATCATGTAACTTTGTAGAACACTCATCTATCCAGTATATGTTACTATGGAGTCTGCTTTTGGTCTCTTTTGCTTAAATACTCCTATTAATTACTGAATTACTTGATGTGTGGAACTCCTAGACCCACTGGGAGGTAAGTCAGTACCACCAGGCCTGCCAGATTTCCTCTGAGGAGTAGCAGAGCGCGACTTCCTCACCTCCCAGGATGTCTGAGAGTCTCTTCCACTACTAAGCTCAGACTGTAGCTCAGGCCACTACATAATTAAATTTCTATTTGTCCTGATGACACTTCCAAAATAGTGTTAGTATATTACAGAAGTTTGGTATTACTTTTTAGCTTATCTCATTGATTGGGTTGGTTGTTTGTAGTTTCAGTCCTGTGATACTACATTGGATTCATGTTCCTTTGCAGTGTTTTGAGTTAGATAGTGTTCGGCAGAACAGCAATAAGGTTTTCCCTCATTTTCCTTTCAGAAGGACATGAATATGTTGATTGAAACTCCTTTAGTCCTTATCACCTCTAAACCAACATCTTTTTTCATAAATGTTGGTTGTGTTTGTCCAGGTACCTTCATTGTAACTCGTGTAATGTTTATGAATATCTGTATCTTAGGGCTTTCATAAATGGCTAGTTGATATTCAGAAACCCATTTCTGTGTATTGAGGGGTGGGGAAAAAACCCTAAATGACAATTTGAGAAAGACATATTCCTTCCAGACTCTAACGTGTGGGAAAATACTTTTGCAATGAAAATCTTGATAATTTACTGTGACAAGTAACCATTAGTTTATCAAAACTAACTTGTACACTAATAAATCTTTGCAACAGTATTGTTTTCTAACTTCTTGCTTTTGTACATTGTGTGTTTTTTCAGTCTTGTTATTTAGTTTACTTTGATCTCTGCTGTTTTAAGTCTATTTGTAAGTAATTCCTCCTTCAAACCTGGTCACTACAATACCCCTCAGTAAGATTCTGATATTAATTTCTTGGCAGTTTATTCTCTATTATAATTGTAAATGATAAACATTTTTGTGGACCTTTGCAATATGTGTGTTAGTGATTTTACTTCAGGATGGGCTCTTTATGGAATACACATCTTCACAAATGAAATCCTCACATTCTATTTGGTTTACACTTGTTAGTCTACATTACATAATGAGTAAAGCATTTATGCATTGTGTATTAATTCTGCAATGTTACTGAAAGGTAGCTAATGTGCTTATGATTTGGTCCTGTAGCATTAAACCTAGATTTATGTATTTATGTAGAGTTGTTTTGACAAAACTTTTCTATTTTTGCTCCTTTGGCTATGTAGCAGTCTTTCTTGTACATTGAATTGTTGTCTTGATTTGGTCACGATTTGGATACATGGAGATCACTTGAATATAATTTTAAGAATTTTGTTTGATTTTTATTGTAACCTTTCATAGTTTTTGAATAAATACAGCCTGCTTTCCCTAGATGCACTTGTGCAAGGTAATATTATACATTTCCCTGTTACTGTCATCAACTGAGGAACATTTGAATATAGTGTTACTCACATTTCCTTATATTATGTGTCTTTCATCTTACTATTCTGTTGAAGCTTAATTTGTAGTGGTGGCTTTGTAAATGATATTTGTAATACTTAAAATCAAGTACCTACGTCACTGAGAGGGTTTTAATTGTTTTCAGAATTATTTCACGTAGCCATAAAGAGCTTTTTGCACATGGTACAAGTAGGATAATTAGAATATAGTATTTGAGTAGACATAAGTACTTTTTCAAGTTAGGAGTACTAGTATTTATTGAAAGCTTCCTTGGTGCTAGGTACCATTCTAAGTACTGGCTTAATTATCACGTTAAAGAGCACAGTAACTTTGGGACATTGGTGCTCCTGTTACGCTCATTTTAACGGGAAGGATAATGCAGCGGGTATTTAGGTCACTTCTCCAAGGTCAGTAACTAATCAGATCTCCAGTCAGGCATTTGCAGTCCTGAAGGCATACTCTTAACCATCGTTCCCTGTCATAGAACTAGTTACTAGCTTTTTTTCATCATAGCAGAAGTTCCCCTATTTCTTTATCATTCTCTTATATGCAACAGAGGTGTTTCAGATTTATTGATTATAGGATAAATCCCATGAATGTAAACCTACTCCATAATAAGTCTTTTGATGGTTTCGCCGCTTGCTGCGCAAGCACAAAGACCCAAGTTCTATCCCTGGTTCCAAAAAGAAAAACAAAAACCAAACAATGTTAAAAAAAAAAAAAAATCTTTTGATCTAAACTTCTAGCAGAGGAGGTGGTTCTCCTTGCATTCTTAGTACTCAAAACCCCTGATTTAGTAAAAGGTCCAGAGTTAGGGAACTTAACAGCGCTTTACCTCCTTAATTGTATTTGGACATGAAAGAAGGAGTAAGCCTAAAAACAGTCTGCTTGACATAAAACTTTGCCGACATCTCTTCAAGTATTTTAGTGCCATGTACAAGCTCACACTGACATTTCTAGTTGTTGATTCAGCGTAGTTTGCATGCTCAAGAAATACACGATTCTCTGCCAAGTGTGAGAATCATCATATTGCTCACAGGGCAGTCTTTCGTAACACCAATACTTAACAGCCACCATAGTTTCAAGTATAGTATATATAATTTTTTATTTTTCAAGTGGCCTAGAACAGCTGTCCTTTAGGTGTTTAAGATTGGAAGTCTTCTCAGTATTCAGGCATTACACTTCTAGTCCTTGGGGTCCATTTCTTTTTCTTTTTTTTTTTTTTTTTGGTACTGGGAATCGAACTCAGAATCTTGCACTTGTCAGGCAGGCACAGCCGCACTGAACTACATCCCCAGCCCTTTGGAGTCCATTCCACCAGTAATACTGAGCAAGTTTTTTGTCCACATATTTAGTTGGATAGAGGTGTAAAAACATTTAATCAGTTACCTGAAAACACTGGATTGGTTCAACTCCAACTCTGCCACGGACACTCAGCTATGAACTTTACCCTGGGTTTTCTCTAAAATGTTAAGAGAACAATACATAGAATAAGGAATATAGAATGACTGAGGTGTTGTCTTTTTTTTTTTTTTTTTTCATTTTAAATGAGAATACCTGTCAGGTTGGAGTACACAAAACTTATGGGGCTGTAAAGTTTTACTATTTTTGTTGTAAGTTTATTGTTTCATACTTAAGAATCAGAAATGTTTCTGCTTGTGGAATCAGGTTTGCTTAATTGACTCTTAGTTGGGGCTGTTGCATGCACACTGAGCAGCAGTGAGTGCTTGTTCTCAGCCTTGCCTCCTTACCACCTCATGTATACAGGTTCTTTTCTTAACCCGTTAAGCAACAAACTAGTTTTATTTGTATTTCTTTGACTACCAGTGAAACAGCCCTTGTAATGTCTCACTGGGCATATGTGTTACTTTAATCCCCAGTTCATGCTCATGTTTACCTGTTAGCCTCTGCTGCCTTCTGTCACCAAGAGCGCACCACCCACTTTTCCTTTTGAGCGCCCCCACATCCCTGCAAGTAAACCTGCGCGTGCGCAGTGTGGCATTGCTCCACCCTCAGCTACCACAGCGGCCCAGTTACCCGGGGCAGTGCCCTCCCCCAGAGGAAATGGCCAGCGAAGGTCACTGAGGTACAAGCACGTATTTTCTGAGGCTTTTTTAGATATCAAAGAGACACCTTCTTGCAAGTAGTATGTCGCGAGGAGTAACATTTCTTGCTGAAGCTAATTTTTCTAATAAAAGTCAACCTGAGGTGGTACCTAGAAAACAAAAGGAACTCTGAATTGGAGAACCAGATGCAATCTGGAACCTCTGGATGGAATCAGACCTGAAGGGAGATGTTTCTGGATCTTCACCAACATAGATCAATACATTCATTTTTTGTATGAGCAACTATAACTTGGATTGGGGAACAACTAAATATACAATATATGTGAGTATGTGTTTTATTAACATTTCAATAGGATCACTTCCATATATTTCTTTATGAATGTATGCATGGGAATTTCTGTGCATTAACTTTGTATATGCCACTTTAAAGACTCCTCAGTTGGTAGGGTCTTGTGTTGTGTTGTTTAAATTTGTCATTCCGTCCCTCCCCCGACCTCTCCTGCCTGAAACAGTAGCGTCACAGCCTGACTTGTGTGCCCTCTGGCTCCATCACCTCTATAACCATGCACATATGTACATGTGCATGCATACAGTTAGGACTTTGTTTTATTTTTAAAATGTGTTGTTTTATAACATAATATCTGCATGCTGTTTTTCTTGCCTAACAATAGATTGTGAAACTCCCTCCAAGCCCATTTATTATATACATGTGACATTCATTTCAATAATACATTGTAAATAGCGCATGATATGGATAAACCACGGTGTATTCAGCCGTTTCTCTAGTAATTGACATTATCTTGTTGCCGTTTTCTTTTAGCCAATGCAGATAGTACCGTAGAACATGTACAGTGTTAGATATCTAAGGTCATAGTGCTGTACCATAGTATCCTTGTTAGATATCCAAGAGTTGGTTGTATCCATGGGTCAAGGAAAATGTTTGTATTTTTAAATTTTGAGCTGGGTGTCATGGCGCATGCCTGGAATCCCCGCACTTGGGAGGCTAAGGCAGGAGGATTGCCCTAAGTTCCAGGCCAGCCTAGGCTACATAGTGAGTTTAAGATACATGGTGAAACCCTGTCTCAAAACCGAAAAAAATTTGGATATATTTTTCTGATAGCTTTCCAAAAGTCTGTAACAGTTTGTTTTTGTTTTTGTTTTTTCTTGGTATCAGGATCAAACTCGGGACCTTGCGCTTATGAGGCAGGAGGTGGCAGCACTGAGCTAGTCCCCGGCCCAAGTCTGTAACACTTGTAATTTCACTAATAATATCATTTTCCCTGCATTTCCCCACCAACCTCGACAGACTTTCCTACTTTAATTTTTGCTCTTTTAATATTTACAATTTGTGAAGTATAACTTTTAGAGTAGTTTTTCAGGTTTGTAGTGTATTTGGAGTTACGTTTTTAAAATGATTATTCATACTCTTTTGACAGTTTTGTGTGGATTACCAGTTATGTGAGCTTTGTGTGCTGCAGATATGAATCCATATGTGTCTCTTACAAGCATTTTTTTCTAACCTAAAGTTATTTAAAAAATTTATCTTCTGTTTTACTAACAATTAAAAAATACATCTGGATTCCCCAACACTTGGATTATTCATACAGTTGCCTTAACCTCTTAGGAGATTTTTTTTCTACTAACTTGGAATTCACTTGGGTTCAACCCTGGTCCCCTCACCCCTCCAAAAAAAACCCAAACCACTTTTATCGTTGTCTATTTCCCCTTTTAATGTATCCTTTTAAAAAATACATTTACATGAAGGAGTTTTATCTAGAATATGATCCAAATACTAGTTGTATTCACTGATAATCTTCATCGAGTCAGTGACTTGTCTTTATTTCAAATACTGTACACTAAAACATTTTCAAACAAAATGATCATTTTAGTCTGTTCTTAAAAATTGATGTTCAAAGACATTTCTTAGACAAGAAGTAAAAGCAGCAAATACTTGAAAAAATGTTCAACATCACTGGTCATTCGAGAGATGCAGATGAAAACAACACTGAGATTCCACCTCACCCC